AAATTTGAAGGATAAAAGTCTAAACACTATTGAAGAAACAATAGAAGACAGGAAAAAACAATTCACCAACAAAATATACAAAGATACAAAAAGGTACTAACACTGGATCATGATTGTACAGCTCTCAATATGCTGAAATCTAGTGAACCATACACTTCAAGTATGTAAATTCTATATGGTTCAAATTTTAGTTCAATAAAGTTATTATCTTTTTTAAAAATAAAAAAGAAAACTGAAGCATGTTAAAAATAAAAAATGACAAAGTAAATATAATCTGTAATCCCCCCCATTACTCAGTCTGTAATGTTTGAAATGACACATAATTATAGGCCTTCAAGTTAAAATATCATGGTGTTCTTTCCACAAAACTGAGAAAAACTGGGATACATGAGACCCATTCCATTGGTAGGGTGTGGTGAAAGCCTGTTATGATCTGTTGCTGGTGTGAATGACATCAGGTACATTTTCAGTAGGGAAAGTCTAAGAGACCTAGTGAAATCATTTCTGCACTTACCCTTTGACCCACAAGTTGTACTTGTCACCTATTGTGAGGACAGATCTTCATCAGTAACAAAAACAATGGGCAATTTACATGTTGTGACACTAGTGTAATTGCCAAGTAGTGTAAAAAAATATATGTATCCCAAATAAGGTAGTAATTGAAATAAAAAAAGGAGGAGGAGGAATGAGAAGATGAGGGAGAAGAAAACAAGATGGAGAAGGAGGAGGAAGAGAAGAAGGATGATTGTGTCTTAGCTACTTTTTGTGTCGCTGAGACAAAATATCCAACATACACAAGTTATAAGAAAGGTTTATTCCAGCTTGCTGTTTGTAGAGTCCACAATTGGCGGGCTCCAAGGCTAGGGTGGTGGTGGCAGTGGGCGAGGCAAAGGAGAAACAGTCCATGCAAGGCAGGCAGGAAGCAGTGAGCAGCAAACCTCTCTTTCTCTTTTGTCTCATTTAGTTTGCAAGCCTTTTAGATGGTGCCTTGCACACCCAGGGTGAGCCTTCCCATTATCCACAGCCACATCCGTGTTAAATCATGCAGTGGACTAACACTCATACTGTTCCCTTAATCCCAGTGCCACACACTCTAGATACAACCAGCTCTGAAAAGCCCCATGAGGCTTTGGGAAGACATCTAGACACAAATATAATGGCTTCTCTGAAAAAGTGACGAAGATCATTATGAACAGTTGCTGGATGATTTGCATGGTACAGTGTTAAGGGGAAAAGAGCATTTTATTAACTGGAAAGGGAAAATCACTTTAACAGTGAGATCAAATGTTGCAGACCAGGCTGTGAAAGCGTTGAATCGCTGGCCACAGTGCTCTCTGGCTGTACTGGGAAAACTCACATTTACAAGTCTCCGAAGCTGAACCCGAGGGAGCTGAATCTCACAGTCCCACAAAACAAAGAATCTCAGAGAACACCAAGAAAGGCAAATGTTTCCTCAAAATACAGCTACGTTTATCATACTCAGACTGGTGGAATCCAAACTTTATGAGACAATATTACAGTTGTTAAACTAAAACATACAAGTTATGCAAAATAAATGAAAATATTCCAACAGGCATTTCATCAGCAAACATATAGAACCCAAGGAAATCTGTGTGTGAAAAAAAAATATCAAATAAATGAGAAACAAATGAATGAAACACCAAAAAAATGAAAAATGAAAAAATGAAAAGAAACACCAAAAAATTTCTAGCAACAGTGAAATAAAGAATCTTTTTTTTTTTTTTTTTTTTTGTACCACGAATTGAACTCAGGACCTTGCACTTACCAGGCAGCTGCTGTGCTGCTGAGCTATAACCCTGTCCCAAAGAACCCATTTCTTGTAGGACTGTATTGTAAAAATGTTGAAGAAATTACTTCAGACACAAAAAGATTGATAGAAACTAAAAAAGGTCATTGGATATATAAAAAAAGCAATGTAAAATTTACACATTTATTAATAATTTTAAATGACAGTCAACTGTAAGGGAAATATAATAGCATGTATTTATTTCCTATGTAAAAGTAAAATGTATGTCAATAACACAAAAAGAGAAAAATAGTTTTATTCTGTTTCAGTAGTCTAGTACTACCCAGGAAGTCACACAATATTTGACAGTAAATTTTAATTTAAGTTTTACATTGCAATATTTATACAATATGGATTTTTACAAAATTTTCATTCTTATTTCATGACATTTTTACTAGTGTACATTGATTACACAAGTTAATAAGTTCCATTTTGGCAACATGTGCACATAATATACTTTGGAGAAACACGAGCAAAAGTGAGTTAATAGAAATCAAATAAAATCTTAGTAAATATTACAAAGCAAGGCCAAAAAAGGCAAAGACCATAACACAGGGACATGTTGTTTTCTTGTTGGTAGACTGAATCTAAGCAGTAAAAAATTATATTAAATATGAATGGCTTATATACATCTTAGTGATTGCTTACAAAATTAAGAATGAATTAAATGCTATAAACTTAAGATTGTGATAAGCATAAAGATAGGATAGAGATGAAAGTAAGTATTTAAGATAAGCTAGGATGATTATATTAATTTGGCAGGATTCCAGTCTCTCTAACTTTCTACTTGGAAATTGATTTTCTTAAGGCAATAGCATGAGTATGAGAACACACAGATCATAAAAAGCATTTAAAAAGTAATTTGTCATGGAGATTTAGTCTACATATTTTGTAAATTTAAATACATGATAACATTTATTTGTGTTAACAATTCACTTCAGAATATCTCTTTATTTGACCTGAGCCTCGGATGTGGCTGGGCATCTGGAATACTTTATACACAAATATTCAGGCAGGCACTGTGCTGCCGAGCTATGTCCCCGGCTATACACAAATACTCCGTTCCCACATTCCTTCTTGAAAACACATCACACCTAATCTCTGCACAGAGTGGGATGCTCTAGGTAATTACTTTTATTCTGGGACTATGTTAGCTTTGCTCACAGTTCATTGGAGCCAGAAAATGCAGGGAATATAATTCAGGTGCTGTGTTCTGCCAGAAAAAAAATCTATTCCTGAAGAGTTTGTAGTTTGACAAGAATGAGTCTGTTAGTTTGGGCTCTGACCCCATAGCTTTAAACTGATATCTTTGGGAGCAGAGGGAGAGGCTGGTGCCGTGAAGCCAGTGAGCTGTGAGGCCAATCTGGGTAATCTCAGAGAAGAACAAACACGAAGCACAAGGAGAAAAGGAAAGGAGTGCTCACAAATCCAAGGAAGGGAAAGCGTGTTTTATTTGACTCTTGATGATGTTTCACCTCTTGCTCCTAATGTTCAATGATAACTGTCTCTTCTTTCATTTCTTAGTTTTCATGAAATATCCATTTCCTTTTTCTTACATTTTAAAATAAAATTACTGCACATATTTCACTCCATGAAACTGAATTACTTTAATTTTTCATTTGATAATTTAACTAATAATTAACATGCTACCAACTACCACCTCTGATGTGGAATAGAACAATGTTTATCATATCAAACCTATTAGTAGAAAAGATATATACTGCTTGTAATAAGGCACTCAGAAATTGTCCACATTTATTGCACTGCAACATTATTTGTGCCCCCTTTTTATTCAATAGGACTTTTGCTATGCACTTGAGATCTGTGTGCAGGAAGAAATGAAGCACATGGACCACCAGGCAGAAACCTGGACCCATTACACCTCAATCCCTAAGCACCAATTTTATGGGTCCATCTAATACATGAGTCTGATCAAAGTTATCCCAATTAAACATTGATATTTTCTGTAGCCCCCTTCTCTCCCCCGTTTCCCTTCCTCTCCCTCTCTTCAAGTCCTTTTGTTTTTTATTTTCCGGTCTCTGGAGACTTCAGGAGGAATTCAGCCCTGAGAACTTCATGAGTCCTTTCTAAATCTGTGATCTTCAGAACACTCACGTAATGTGTGTTGCTTTTAGCCTTGAAGTGGGTAGCAATTGTTACAGCAGCAAAAGAAAACTAAGACAAAGGATTAACACTTATTAACAAGTAGAGACATTTTCAATGTTCATGAAACTGCTGTAACTTAATAGGTGTACATTTTATGATTTAAAATTCATGGAGTGGAATGGTATAGCCACAATTAAATTTGATTCAACAGAATTGTCTTATTGGTGTCTTGTCCCTCAAACATGTATATACTCAATGCAACAATTACTAGATTTTACATATTATACTAGATGCTCATTACCTTCAGGGTGCTGAACTAGTAATGTATTATAACCAAAAGCTGGTGGATTTAATTCTTAATAACTTTCATTTTTACAATAAGTATAATGAGTTACAGTGGAATTTGCCACATGTATTAGGTATGAAACCAGCTGAAAACGGTAGGCAAGTGACCACATAGATGCAGTCTTCTTGATTACCTCAACGTTCAAATATTTTACTATGTTTTTTACCTTTTCATTCAGTGTATTTGCTTTGTTATTCCAAGTAATTTCTTTGGGGACATATTTTATCTGTGGTCATGGTCATGCATAAATCTATGTAGAGAAGTTTCATAAAAGCTACTGAAGGAAAATTACCCAGAGGACAAACGAGCTAGAGCTGTACCCCTGTCCACACAATTTCTGTTTTTAAAAAAGAGAAATGTTCCCCTATGAGTCTGAAATTCTCCATTAAAAGTTGTGTCTTAAAAAGGAAATGCTTGTAACACAAATTTTCAAACTTCAGGACAACTGACCGACTTCTCACCATGCTGCCAGGAAGAACATTTTATAGTTCATATTGAGTGTTTTAAAAATCTGAGGTTTTCATCCAGACTTTTATTTGAAATCTGCTTCTTGACTCTTCATTGTAAAATAGAGTCCTTTAAATTTCATGAACTAATTTAGGAAAAAAACCACCCAAATCCTCAATTAATTTTTATGACTTTTATTAATTTATCAGCATTTGTTAGTTATTCAACTGGATCCACACTGAATGTTAAACATTTTTCTCATTATTGATTTTAGTTTAATAATTATTAGGCAAATTACAGCAGCATTTAATTCAAATTTCAAACTACAAGGATATATAATGATAATATTACGTGAACATGTAAAGCCAAAGATGAATTTTCAAGAAGTCATCACAGTAGGGTTTTCTTTCACCACAAATTTCCAAAAACATTTAAATTAATAACTGAAGGATATATTCCATAATCTCCAGAAAAAGTTTTCTTGCAACTTTTAACTTCATTAAGGTTTTCCATGCAACAAAAGACAATGTTCCTAGGAAGGTAATAAATATATTTAAATGTTATAGGCAAAAATTTTAAATTTTGATTTCAAATATGGAAATTATTTGAAATAAATTCCATTAAATTAAAATTAGCAAATGTTTATACATATTCTCCAATACATCTATGAAAAATTGAAGTGATATTTTCATATATCAGATTTATATTAAAATTTTGTTAATGCATACTACTTTTGATGTATAGTGCAGAAATATAGGCCTTAATAAAGGCTCTGTGCTATTTCTGTTTTAGCCTGTTTTCTTTTTGGCGAGATCATAATCTGTAGCTCATACTTTGGGCTACCACTTGGCAATGTCTGATGCATGGATTCATTTCTAGTGGTACACTCCATCATTGTTCCAACAAGCTCAACTAGTAAAAGTACACACTGAATTCTACTTTTGCCTTACATAAGACTGCACAGGCTATAAATCCATTCAATATAAACATACATAGTATCTAAAAAGAACAGCGTGTTTCTATATTTACTTACTAATAACTAAAAGATACATAGTTAATGAAAAATGTATGAAAACTATATATATGATCTTGTTCATGCAACTGTAATGTTTTCAATAAAATACATTTATTTATATTCATTAGTACATTAAATTTTTTTTAGCAGTGAACCTTACAAAAAAGAAAAAAATTGAATCAGTCAATAATCAAAGTATGAGGATTAGGAGGTAAAGATGGAAAAATTAAGCTTTACTTACATTTAATAACTTTCCGTGGCAATTTAATTTTTAGTAACAAACATATGGTGAGGATATACTTAAAATAAATAAGTAAAATTATGTCCATAAAACTAAATATTATTACAATACAGACCAAGGGTTGAGCAATAATATGGATTTTGAGTAAAAAAAAGCCATGGCAAGTAGATTGCTCAGTTAACGCACAAGAAGAAAACATGCAGAATCTCTGAGCCCAGCCCTGCCAGAAGCAAGGCAAGGCATCCTTAAGCAAGTGCGCTGTTGTTCGTAATAAGTTTGTGCTTTTCCAAGTCTGCCGCAGTAAGTAAATATTTTCTAACGTGTCAACATTTTGGAGACTTAAAGCCTCTGTAATCTCAAGGTATAAAGGCCTCAATACAAGAATAATTAGTCCAGTTGACAGTGCAAAGTAAAATTTTCAATTTTGTGATACCAGAAATGCAGTTGGACATCATGTTAATAAGTTTCTTCAATGATTTTTTGCTGAATGATTATGCCTAACTATAAAAGTATTTCCATTTTCATTAATGGCATCTTGTTTATGTACGATTTTTTTGTACTTGACTTAGTAAAAACATCTGACAAAGTGGGTAGCAATTGTTATAGCAGCAAAAGAAAACGAAGACAAAAGATTAACACTTATTAACAAATGGAGAGGCTTTCTATGTTAATGAAGTTGCTGTAACTTAATAGTTAGATATTTTATAATTTTAAATTCATGGAGTGGAATGCTGTAAATAAATTTGATTCAGCAGAATCATCTTATGGGTGTCTTGTTCCTCAACTATGTATGTTCTATGCAAAAACAGTGTTTCTAAACTCCAGGCATTGACCAAAGCATGTAGTTATTAGAGAAGCTTTGAAAATAAGGTAACTAGGTTAATTGTATTCATTTTATGGTATCCTAGAGAACTGAATAAAGCTTATTGACAAGTCCAAAGCTAGTTTTTGCAAAACTGGAGCTTACAAAAGTTGAAGTATACTATATACAATCTTTAAATATAATCAATTCTAATCACCTATTGTATTTACAAAATAGGAAGTGAGAATTTGCTAATAATATCTGAGTCTAGGGCTGGGGATTTAGCTCAGCGGCAAAGCGCCTGCCTGGCAAGCGCAACTTCGTGAGTTCGGTTCCTGGTACCGGAGAAAAACCAAAAAAAAACCAAAAACAATATCTGAGTCTACAGTGTATTTTTCTGTCTGATAATGTGTGAGGATGTGTGGAAGAACACCCAGTTCTATGATTCTCTTACCAGAGAAGCTCATATAGCAGAGAATATTCCCAAGTCCTCTGACCTAACCATGAATCGGGGTTGTATCACTCTGTTCTTGCATAAGGTGGGATACAGTTATATTTCTCACTTCAGGTCTTAGGCTTTTTGAAGAGAAGTTCCCTCCATTATCTTCTCTAGTTCCTTTTATTTTCTAGAAAGTTTTGATGGTGAAGCCACAAATGGAAGAACCTTAGGTGCCTGAATACATGGAGCAAAGCCTTTGGAATAAACGTCCTAAATCATGTCCAAATGGAATCCTATAGAGTCATGCTATTAAGATGTGAAGGTATACGTATTAAACGGCAAGCATTACTCTAGGTAACGCACATAATTTTTACACTTAATATACAATATGTCCACTTTAATTTTAATTCATTTCTGAATTATACTTTAGGGAACAGAAGTTGTACACACATATACAGGATATACATATTTTTCTCTCAATGGAGGAAGAATCAATAGTATGTAGGAAATTGAATGATATAATTTTCAAATTTACTATTCTATACTTTCTTCCCTGTTTATACTAGTAGTAAGCTTAGCATTTGAAATTTTTAGGAAAATATATCTCCTCCATAAGCAGATTTTTTAGGTCTGATATTCTTTCTTTATATCTGTAAGCAATTGAATTGGCTGGAAAAGTTTCATGTAACACAATTTATTTTTATTTCTGTTAGTTACATCATGGCAAGTGTCAATGCCATGTTTATTACATCTTCATTTAAAAATATTAGTATATCAAAATCAAACAAAATAAAATTTAGTCAAGAAAGAAAAAGAGTCCATTCTAGGGAGGATTCTCGGTTAGCTATGCCAAGCTAGAGAGGACCGTTAGCAAGTGCCTGTTTAAACCTGTCATCAGCCCACAGGGCTATTGCTAAAACTTTGATACCAAAACGTGTAGAAAGTTTAGATTCCCTTATGGATAGTTAATTATAATGATTCATAATTATGACTTAACACTACCTTCTCTTTGCAATCAGTACACCACATAGAAATCCTAAATTAGGAAGCTTCCACGTCTCTTACCTGTATACTTATGTACTTTGTGGAGGAAATTTAGAAGAAGCAGGACTACGTTCTGAAAACCAGTGAGGTCCTTGATGATGGGACCTTTGTCCCTGCTAACAAGTATTCGTGGTGGCAAACCTTTCTGGAATTCATTCATTCTCACCAAAGTTGTAGGAAAGCGTGGTGGAGCCAAATAATCCACAAATAAAGCCCAGTTCCTTTGAAACTCTGCTTCTGGTTTAGAATAATATTTTGACCTAATAAATAAGAGGAGAAAAAAGTATGCATTTAAAATTAGTTCAGTCAGAGTTTTCTAACTCAAGTTTTAAACTGATGGTCTTATCCAAAGCGATATTGTTCTACTTTTGAGAGTAGAGATTGTATAAAGTTGTTAATTTGGACATGAGAGGAAACATAACATGGAATTCTAAATCTGGAAATTACCATTTCAGGAGGTACATGTATCTTCATTAAATATTTTGTCCTTTTTTAAATCATGCTATACTTACATAATGCTGAAATGTGGCCAAGTGTTGTTATTTTAAAATATAAAAAAGTCAAAGCAAGTGAGGCAAAATGTCTGATAGGCCTGAACATTTCTTGAATATATGATTTTTAGAACATATGGCACCTGAAAAATAAAATAAATTAGAGAGTTTTTCTTGCTTTGTAGGAAATATGGTACTTTTTCTTGACTAAATACGCTAGAAAGCCAGTTTTTTTGCATTTTGTTGAGGAACAAATGTTAAGTCTGTGGTGAATTGTTTTGCAGCTATGTTAATGTTCCATCACTGAGATGAGATACCTGAGGTAAGCCACTTAAAGGAGATATTTTTTCCCTCCCACTTTCAGAGGTTTCACTACCAGGAAGCATAGAGAGGGAAGGAGCCAGAGAGATGAGGATGTGAGTAGGGATGTAGAGACTATCAAAGACACACCCTTGTTGACCAGTTTATTCTAATTAGGGCTCATTGAACAAGCCCATTCAGTGAATGAACTCATTAATGGGTGAATCCACTTGAAGTCAGACCCCATTTGCTCAAATGGGCAGCAACGTTGAACATATTTTTACGTATGTATTGGTCATTTGTACTTCTGCATTTGATAATGGTGTATTCATTTCAGATGCCTATAATTGATTGGGTCTTTAAATTAAGAGGGGGTCTAATATTCTGAGTTCTTTGCATATTGTAGGCATTAGTCCCATGTCTGAGGAGTGGCTTGCAAAATGTTTTTTCCCGTACTGTAGGTCATCTCTTCATCCTATTGTTGGTTTTCTTTGCTGTGCAAAGCTTTCTAATGTGACATGAGCCTATATTTGATTCTAGGTACTATTTTTGTGCAACTAAGGTTCTGTTCATAAAGTCTTTGTCTATGTCTATATCTTCAAGAGTTTTCTGTATTGTGTCATCTAGCAGATTAAGTGTTTCCATTTTAATATTTAAATCTTTGGCCCATTTTGCTCTTAGTTTAGTATATGGTGAAAGGAATAGGTCTAGGTTCAATGTGGGGCATGTGCATAACCAGTTTTCCCAGTATTCATTTATTAGAGAGGCTACATTTCCTTTAGTGAAAATATTTGTCAAAAATAGCACAACTCTTTTTGCATCTTCTGTTCTGTTCCATTGATCTCCAAGTCTGTCTTTTGCCACTACTATCCTGTTTTTAATCATTAGCTTTATATTGTAACCAGAACTCTGGGATTGGAATGCTTCTGCTTTGCCCTTTCTGCCAAGGACTGTTTTTGCTATTGTATGTCTTTTGTTTCCATGGGATTTTTAGGATTGTTTTCTGCAGTTCTTGGAGGAATTCTGTTGGTATTTTGATTAGGATTATATAAAATCTGTAAAACAGTTTGGTGAATATGACCATTTTGACTATATTGGTTCCACCTGTGGAGAAATAGGGATTATCTTTGCATTTTCTTTTCTTTTTCTTGGTACGGGGAATCAAACTTATGAGCTTACGCTTGCTGGGCAGGCGTTGTGCCCCTGAGCTAAATCCCCAGCCCTATCTTTCCATTTTCTGATGTCCTCTTCAATCTCCTTTTTCACTATAGAGTTCTTTCATTTCCTTGGTTAAGTTAATTCCCAAGATTTCATTTTCATTGTTTCTCCAATTTCTTTCTTAGTGAGTTTATTATTGAGATATAGGAATGCTATTAATATTTGAGTGTTGATTTCTTTCCTGCTATGCTACTGAATATGTAAGAGTATTTTGGAGGAGTTTCTGGGATCTGCTATGTATGTAGGAAATCATATGATTTGCAAATACTGATAATTTAGCTTCTTTCTTTCCTGTCCAAATCTGTTTTATTTCTATCTCTTGTCTGATTGCTTTTGCTAATATTTCAAGAACTATACTGAATAGGAGTGAGGAGAGTGGACATTCTTGTCTTGTTACTGATTTTAAGGGGTAGCTTTTATCTTCTGTCCATTTAATAGGATGGGGAAATAAGGTATTTCCACAGCAAAGAACAATTGAAGAAATTCATGATCATGAAATCAACCCTAGAAAGACTACTGAAAGATATATTAGAAAGAGACAAGGTGATCACAATTCAAGGAACAACAGCAAAAAGAAACTACAAAGTAGGGTAAGCAATTAAACAGAGGGGAAAAGTAGGGAACCAATTTCCAAAAGGATAATAACATGACAAAGATAAGCCAATAGCTATTGTTATAACCATCGATGTAAATGGCCTCAATTTACCAATGGGGGGAAAAAAAAACCAGACTAGTAGAGTGGTTCAAGAAAGAAACGCCACAAATATGCTTCATACAAGAAACACATTTAACTCAAAAGAAAATTCATATACTGAAAATCAAAGGATGGATAAGTACTTTGTACTTACTAAGTAACTTTGTACTTATAAGTACTTTGTACTGACTAAGTAACAATACTCCATGTGACAGGAATCCAGAAAAAAGCAGGGGTAGCTATTCTGTTTGCAGACAATGTGAATTTCAAACCAAGAATGATCAGAAGAAATAAAAAGGTCACTGCATACTTGTTAGGGGAAAACTTCAAGAGGAGGAGATAACAATCATAAATATATACGCACCAAATACAGGGATAACCAACTATATAAGACAAATATTAATAGACATGAAAAATAAAATAACCAATTATACAATTGTAATGGAGGTCTTAACACCCCATTGTCACAAAGAGGCTGATTAAATAGTCCAAAAAGAAGCTGATTAAATAGCCCAAAAAATCAGCAAAACAATAACAGAACTAAACCAAATTTGTGAACAAAAGGACTTAGTAGACTTTTACAAAGTGTTCCACCCAACAATATCAGAATACACATTCTTCTAAGCTGCACATAGGACATTATTTAAAATAGACCACATACTAGCCCATAAAACATGCTTAATTAAATGCAAAGGAATTCAAATTATCCCATGAATATTATTCCCCCATAGTGTAATGAAATTGGAAATGAATGACAAAAGAAACTGCAAAAACTCTGTAAACACATAGAAATTAAGTAGCACCCTTCTGAACAAATAATGGATCATAGATGAAATGAAAGAAGAAATTAAACAATATGTACAAACAAAAATGCAAGTACAGCTTAGCAGAATCTGTGAGACACAATGAAAGCAGTCCTCAGAGGAAAACTGACAGTGGTGAACTCCGAAAAAAGGAAAACAGAACAAGCACAGACACAAAAGAACAACCTTATGCTGCACCTCAAGCTTCACCAAATCTAAATCAAGAAAACATAAATATGAAATTGAAAATACAATTAACAACTTACCAACAAAGGTCCAGATGAATTCACAGCTGAATTCTACAAAAAATTTATAGAAAATTCAACACCAATACTCCTGAAACTCTTCAGTGAAATTGAAGAGAAGCAATTCTCCCTAACTAATTTGTGTAGGCAAGAATTACCCTGATACCAAAACCAGAGAAAGACCCAACCAAAAAAGAGAACTACAGGCCAGTCTCCCTAATGAACATAGATGCAAAAATCCTCAATAAAATATTAGCAAGCAGAATGCATCAAATTGCCAAGAAGATTATATGCCACAATCAAGTGGGATTCATCCCAGGGATACAAGAATGGCTAAACATATGGAAATCAATAAATGTAATACACTATTTCAACAGAGCCAAAGACAAAAACCACATGATCATCTTAAGAGATGCAGAAAAAGCTTTTCACATAGTGCAACACTCATTCATGATAAAACACCCTACAGAATATTGGAATAGATGGTCTTTACTACAGTTTGTTATACGCCATATATGACAAACCAACAGCCAATATCATACTCAATGGAAAAAAACTGAAAGCTTTCACTCTAAAATCAAGAACAACACAAGGATCTCCATGATCACCTTTTCAATATAGTTATTTTCTATAAATTTTCTATAGTATATTTTCTATAGTATATTTTCAATATAGTTATTTTCTATAAATTTTTTGTAGAATTCAGCTGTGAATTCATCTGGACCTTTGTTGGTAAGTTGTTAATTGTATTTTCAATTTTATATTTATGTTTTCTTGATTCAGATTTGGTGAAGCTTGAGATGCAGCATAAGGTTGTCCTTTTCAATATAGTTCTGGAAGCATGAACCAGAACAATTAGACAAGAGAGAGAGATGAAAGAATAACAATGAGAAAGGAAGAAGTAAAATTATCATTATTTGTAAATGACATGATACTGTACATAGCAGACCCCAAAAACTCCACCAAAAGACTCCTAGAATTAATAAGCAAATTCAGTAGCTTAGTTGGGTACAAAATCAACACTCAAAACCCAATAGTATTCCTCTACAAAAACAACAAACTTACTGAGAGAAAAATTAGGGAAACCACACCCTTCATAATAGCATCCCCCCCTGCCAAATGAAATACTTAGGAATCAATCTAACAAAGGAAATAAGACATCTATACATAGAAAATTACAGTAATCTGATGAAAGAAATTGAAGAGTATTTCAGAAAATGGAAAGACATTCCTTGCTCATGGATAGGAAGAATCAACATTGTGAAAATGGCCATATTCCCAAAACTGTTATTCAGATTTAATGCAATCCCAACTAAAATATCTCACAGATCTAGAAAAACATTCCTAAAATTCATTTGGAACAAGAAGAGGCTCAGAATAGCAAAAGCAATCCTGGGCAACGAAGGCAAGGCAGGAGGTATCACAATCCCTGACTTGAAATTATACTACAAAGGTACTATGCTAAAATCAGCATGGTACTGGCAAAAAACCAGGATCAGTGGCACAGAT